GTATTGTGGGAAAGCAGCCTACAAGATGGCCCCCAAGGGGCCTCACATCCCACTGGTCACACCCTTGTGTAGTAACCCCCCTCCCCCAGTATCCTAAGGTTGGTCTGTGAGAAAACAGCAGAGGTGAGGGTATGTCCCTTCTGCGCTTAGATTGTAAAAGAGTGTGGCTTTTGTTTTGGCCATTCTTCCTTTATCTCCTGGTGAGGAACACAGCGGCCCAACGAAGAGGGAACTGAGACCTGCAGCCACGAGTCGCATGAGTGAACTTCTAAATGGCGTTTCTTGAATGACTCCAGCTGAGAAACCTCCCTCCTTTATTCACAAGCAAATCATTTCATTCATTGTAGTTGTAATAGGCATAGCACAGATTATATTTAAGTCTGCATTGGTTCATAAGGTGGGGTTTTTAGTTTAAACTTTTGTATTGTGAATTACGGTTACAGAGCAGGTCATCGTGTTACATTCAACACACTCGGATTCAATCCATCCATTGCCATTCTTCAAAGCACTGTGGCTTATCTCACTTCCTCTTTGTGGCTCCTGCTTCCCTAACTCTCCGATCTGCATCCTTGAATCAATCCCCGCTGAGATCTTGACTGCACCTCCACAGAGGCCGAGTCCTGACTGCCTGGCTAAACTGCTCCCCTGTCCAGGGCCCTCAGAAACCAGGTGCGCTAATCACCATTTGTTGTCTGGAGCTACTAAGTTGGGGCTAATGTGTGACACATCAGTAGATAAGTAAGACAACCAGGAAAACTATGAATTTCACTTTCTTGGGAAGCCTGAAGCCCGAAATACGATAGAAGGCAGAGAGTGCCTGTTTCGCATCTAGGTAACCTGGCCTCAAGTGCTATTTTGACAACTGGCTTTGGCACAGGGCCTCTGAGTGGTCTTCATAGGCCTGCCATTCCATGACCCCGTGCTCTGACAAGGCAAGAGGTAGGAGCAAAGGGACTGCAACCTAGGCACATTCTTCTTGTGAAAAAAATACAATGTTATCAGAAAGAGGCCTGACCCCAGGTTCCTTCCCTGAGCTCCCAGACTCCGGGGAGACTATGGGACAATTTCATCATTTTCCAGGTCTTTGTTTCATTATCTATAAAAGAGCCACAATACTACTGGCTTGTGTGGCTAAATTGGACAGAGTAGATGTGAACGGGCTTTGAAAAAGAATTCAATCTGCTGTCCAGCTTCTACAGAGTAACACCATCACCATTCCGACACAGAGATGGAAGGTAAAGGCTTGGATTTTATATCCAATATGAGGTCACCTGGAGAGCCGCAAAGACCCCTCAGCAAGAGAAACAAACTGAAGGGCCCCCTGGGCAGCAAAAATACACGAATCAGGTTGGGGAAAGAAAGGACAGTAGGGGAGAGTGAGCTATGGCAAATTAGAGATTCCATACCCTCCCTAAAAGACAGGTAAAAATAATGTTGAGGGCTAAGCAAACCAAGTCTACCTTCTGAATGTGATCCATCAGAACCAAGTTGCAACCAATCTTTTGTATCCAGCACTATAAACAACAAAAGCTAGGTTGTGTGTGTGTGTGTGTGTGTGTGTGTGTGTGTGTGTGTGCTTGAAGGGTTTAAGCCTCACCATGTACTCTGCAGATACTGGAAAGTTCTGTGGCTAGGTCTTCATCGCACCTTCTTCCTTCCATTCATTCATTCTACATTCATTTATGGAGTACCCTCTACCAGCCATGCACTATGCTGCATACCGACCTTCATTGTGCCAAAATTGGGGCTTGAAATTCTGTTTTGCACCTTTCCAAGTTTGGCTCATGTGCATCCATACTGTATTTGCAGGTAATGCAGACCCTCTATTTTCAGAAATGAGTTCCAGTCCCAAATCCACAAATAAAGAATTATTATAATAATAGCATATTCATGAAAAGCAAATTACTTATCTTGGCGTTGAACATCCTTGTAACTATTCCTGTACTTTTAATGTCAACAGAAAAAAAAGTAATGTCTAAGCCTGGCTGATACCGTAAATTAATGTTAATAACAGTTTTGACACTAATAGCAAGTTTTTAAAAAGAAAAACCCTCCAGTCTCTAAGCTGGGTTTTCATTTCTTAAGAATCACCTCAGCTCACTGTCACCAAAGACTCCCCTAGAACAATTCCCGCTACTAATTCATCTTCCCTGGAAGCCTGGAAAGGGGCTCGAATCCGTAAAGGTTCTATGAAATTATCTCTCTTCTCTTCCTTTGCTCACTCCCATTGGGGAAACATCCACCACCACCCCCAAACTAATGGGGGGTTTAATGGGGAACTTAAGTGGGGAGACTTAACTGGAGAGCTTCTCGGCAGAGGCACATTTCTGTACCCCGGTTAGCAAATAAGCCCCTATCTGGTTTGATTAAAAAACCCTGCGTTTCTTCAGAGCATGCAAATTTGTTGCGAATCATGTGGGCAATTAAAATACGCATTAGGTTGATGGGAAATCTCAGACTTTAAGTTATCAAGACCATGGAATCCCAGAGCATCGAGTCTGCACTTTATCTTTGTGTTCTCCCGCAGAGCTGTGCATCCAGTAGGTACTTAATAAATGAATTAAATTGACCTGAGCTGAAATTTTAATTGGCCCAGAGAAAATGAAAAAGAGCCCAGTGCCTAGGCCCTACCCTCTTGCCAGCTCTTTGAAGAAGTAATTGCAGACTCAGGCAGGCCCTGGCAAAGCCTCTCACCCCACTAAGATCCAGTCAATGGATTGGTCTATACTGCCCACTTCCAGTCAATCACTTGAAGGTCACTAGACTTTCAGCAAAGCATCTCTTCAATTTGTACACATTGTGCTTCTTCGGTTACTCACTGTGGGTTTTACTTTTAGGTTATCCAAGAATTAACTAGCTCAAATGAGCAAGAGGGAGCAGTGACAGCCCATCAAAAAAAATAATTAATGGATTTTTGTTAGGAGATCTGGGCTACTTCAAAATCAAGGAAATAAAATAGAGTCATCTTTTCTCATTTTAAAAGTGCAGTTAGCTTTCAAAGTATCTCTCCCAGAAAATATCAATATTGCCCAAAGCAATCTACAAATAGAATACATTTCCAGCCCAGATCCCAACTTCATTCTTTAAAGAAATGGAAACACTGGTTACCAGCTTTCTAAGGAGAGGAAAGAGAACTTCTTAAGAAGAACAAAGTAGGAGGCCTCTCACTTCCAGACTTCAAACCTATTACACAGCCACAGGAGCCAAAATAGCCTGATCTCGGTACAATGATAGATACATAGACTACTGGAACATAATAGAGAACTCAGAAATAAATCCGTCTACCTACAGACAACTGAACTTAGACAAAGGGCCAAAAAACATTAAGTGGGGAAGAGATCATCTCTTCAACAAACGATGCTGGCAAAATTGGATCTCCATCTTAGTGACAGTGAAACAGGACCTATACCGCACCCCTTATACAAAAATGAACTCAAGATGGATTACAGACCTAAATGTAAATCCCAGAACTATAAAAACCATCAGGGGGAAATAGGGACAAACTTAAGGGCCCTAATAGGGGGCATAAACACACTACGAAACAGACACACACATTAGTAGACAAATTAGAGGACCGGAGCCTACTAAAAATAAGGCATTTATGTACACCAAAGACTTCACCAAATGAGTAAAAAGAGAATCCCCAAACTGTGGAACATTTTTGACAATGACATATCATTGAGACCGGGGACTCTACAATCTGGAAAGCTGCTGTGCCTCAAAAAGACCAATAATCCAATTAAAAAATGGGTAAGGGACATGAACAGACAGTTGATCTATATGGCCAACAAACATAGGAAGAAATGCTCAAGATCACTAACTATCAAAACAGTGCTGAGTTACCCCCTCATACAGGCATTAATAGCATTGCTGAAAACAATGAGGAAACCATGAAGCAGCTCATGGCATGGGTGGACGTGGCGAACATTCTGCTGAGTGAAATTAGTCAGTCACAAAAGGACAAGCATTGTATGACAAACCGCTGTTAGAAAGACAAAAAAAAAAAAAAAAGACCAAAGTTTCTGTACCAAAAGAAACAGATTTTGATGGTTCCCAAGGAGGGGAGGGGAGGGCAAGGGAAGGTGAAGCAATAGGTTAGAAGGCAGACAGGGGGTTAGCTTGAGTGAAAGAGAAGATACTATTCCACAAAGGGACAAGAGTTCTGAAAAGGAGAGTAGGTAGGTAGGTCCATAGGTAGATAGATAGATAGACAGACAGACAGAAAACAAAAATCTCTCTTCCAGAGTACCCCATCAACTCTGCTGACAATACCGGTTATTTACCCCGAAGTGCATACACAACAGAAACCCCAAAGGCATACACAATGTTTTCCAGAATTTTCTTTTCCCTCCATACTTATCACTCAAACTTACCTGTAGAATTTAGGTGAGGACACCACCCCAGTACATTTTCTCTTTCTGTTTAAATATTTAGTCTCTAAGGCTTTTTATGGGTTATCCCAATCTTTGCATACCACACAGAAGCAGGGGGAAATCAAGGCATGACTGGTGGAGATGCAAAGTGTCACGTTTTCTCTGCCTTCCAGAGAAGAGTCACTGGCAACAAAGGCTAACCAGGGCAGCTATCCTTCTTTTGTGTCCTCTTCCCCCAAACATAGATGTCAGTGGTGGATCCAAGAGTCATTTGCCCTTGTTTTGCAAAACCCAAACTCTATGCTGCCAATGACCCATTTCCCTCTTATCCCCAAGCTTTGCATCACCCCCAACTGAGAAACTGATATGAGGTATAAAACCAAGCTCTGAAAGAACCAACATTCAATGAGGACCAAATGGCTTCCAAGCTCTGGCCAAGACAGAAAAAAAGACCAGAGTTGGTGGTGGGTTCTTTTGAGTGCCACATTGAAGGGTCAAGTATAGCAGCAGCAAGGGCGTAAAGGCAGGCAGGCTGCATACTGGACTGAAATCAGGCCCATCTCTGTGTGGCTCCAGGAATGGAAGAGAAATGGAAATCATTGAGTCTCAGGGAAATAAATTACATACCCAAGCTCCATCAGGTCCAAACAGTTCCAGGAAGTTGCCAATAAATTCCCTTGATTTTTCTTCCCATTTTTGAATTAGATCGTGACTCTTTTCTTCCACTCGGTTGACAAATTCCTTCGATCTTTCTTCCACGTTCTTGACTTTTTCCTTCATCTTATCTACCTGGTTCTGGAAACGGTACTTCTTCTCCTGGTCAAAAATTGGAAGCAAAAGAAATGGATTTACCCAAGAGGATACAAGACCACGCACCATCATTCACACCAATCGTCACATTTTATTTCAACTTGTGTTTGTTTCTCATCTGAAGAGTCAGAACCTCATCGTGGCCTAAAGGGAAAGTGGTGTTAATGCTCTTTTTCTTTTTACACCTCTAAGAGGTAAATTCACTCACTTAAGAGAAGAATGCAAATAGTTAACATTTATTCTGGCTAGATTGGGCAGATATATCTACAGTGCTGCTGGGACTTAGATTTACACAGAATGACCACTGAGAGGCTGCCTGAGTTGTCTGTTTTATTGGATCATGGTTAAAGCCTATATTGCTGGAAATAAGTGGGTCAAGGGCTGGGCCTTAGAACCCATGTGTTGTCCTTAAATGTTCATTTTATTGATATTCTCCATGAAGATCACTGAATTGGATCTATTTCCATGGTGATGATGAAAGCTTTTATTCTGATAGCTTCTCTGGACCGGGATTTTGCTCTTCAAGCCTTTACGGAGTCATGCTGTCTACCAGCACCTACCTGGAAGCCATCAGATGTTACCTCTAGCCTCACTTTCAGCATTCATAAAATGGGGATAATTGTCAGCCCATAGGAGTGCTGTGAAAATGAGACAATATTGAGTTCTTGTCACAAAGCCTGGCATTTACAAGGTGCAGTGACGATTCCATTAATGTGAAATGGCAAAGGCATTTCATCTGTGTTACATAAAGAGGACAGCTACCTAAAACCATGAAAATAACATGAGGCCGAAGATCTTCACTGTGAAATCACGACACTCTTCCTCCTAAGGGGGTAATACAGCTTAGCATGTGCGGTACTATATGGGACGAAAAATCCATTTTACACTTCACCATTTGGAGACATCAGACTATTGCAAAACTGGGTTGGGATTCCTTGATTTAAACCTTCCAAATTTTATTGAGGTTTCATTCAGGGTGGGGGCGGTGAGCCCTACGAGGGAGCTTCAAAAAAGTTCATGGAAAAATTCCATTCTCTTTTTGTTGCATTTTCCAGAAACTTTTTGAAGCCTCTTGAAGGTGTAACTGTGTTTCTGTTGCTGCGGAGCGCTGTCCCACCGCTTCTGACTCCCAGTGCGCTTCACAGGGCGGGGAGCACTGCCTCTGTGGGTTTCCAGGGCTGTAAGCTGTACAGAGCAGGTTGCCACATCTTCCTCCCAGGGAGTTGCTGGGGAGTTCCAACCACAAACCTCTCAATGGGCAAAGCGCTTAACCAGTGTGCCACCAGGCCCCCTTCTTACCATGTAGATATAGATACACACATACAAGCATGTCTGCCATGACTTACCATGTGACCTTGGGTGAGTTATTCACCCTCTCTGGACCTCTGTTTCCTCACCTACAAAGGGGCTTCAAAAAGTTCGTGGAAAAAACCCATGACCTTTAAACTTCTCTTTTTGCCACGGATTTTATGAAGCCCCCTCATATAGCTTGGGAGACATCATTATGCCTAACCTCATAGGGTTACCATGAAGAGCAAGAGAGTCCAACACACAGGAAGCTCTTGATCAACGTGAGCTCTGGTCCATACATTTCTATTGTTGGCTTCCACAGTTCATTCTGCGCTGAAAATAGTGATTGTGTGGCCGTCCCAAGGCCAAGAGCGGGCAATAGACTGAGCACTGGGATGCAGGTCAGGAGACTGCTATCCTGGAGAGAACTTGGCCCTCGGAACCTAGCTTTCCTCATCTCTAAATGGGATTGGGCGGCTGACCCCTGTCAGGTCCCTGCCACCTCTGAAGTTGCGTGATGCACACACCCGCCCATCCAGCACATCTGATTTCATTGCTGAACCACAGTCAAGGTTGTTGTCACAAAAAGGCCCCGCGCACATCCGCCCTGAACCACACGGTCCCTTGAGCTAAGTAGTTGATCTACAGGCTGTTTAAAGAAAGTGCGCGATAACTTTGGGAAATGGCTTGACATGCTTGGCTGGTTGGCTGAATTCCATTTTCAAAAGTGGACAGTTTAATTTATTGACATAACTGGGGCACGCTTCTCCTGGAGATACCAAATAATCACATATTGACTGAATTCTTTTCAGCCACTTGGTCAGGTGCCACGGGAACTCCGCGTGGTCCATTTGGTTGCCCCGCTGGTCTGAAAGCAGAGTCAGGAGCCTCAATGTTCCCCACCTTGCCAGGCCAAGGAAGAGTCTCAGATTCGATAATTAGTGGCCCCTTCCTATTTAGAAGGTTCTAGTGACCAAGTGTGTAAGCTGCTGGATCATTACGGTTGCACATAATTATCAGTGTCTACTTTGATAGACAGACTTCCCTTTGTACATACAGGATCTTTTAAAATTATTATGTTTAGGTTGCAATTCTGTGTGAATGGGGAGTTCTTGTTTCAATCAGAGACAGCGCGCTTCGGTGGCCAGGCAAAGACTGTGGTCCAGATCACCACCATCACCTCCAGCAACTGCGGCTGCCCTCTGTGCGTTTTAACAGCTTGTTTTGCTTGTTTTAAAGATTGTTTTAACAGTTGCTCTATCATTAAACTAACAGCAGCTCTGTGGGAACAATGCGGCAGAAATACAAAAGGAAGCCAAAGACTTTAGGCTTTATTTAAGCAGCTGTAATTTCTCTGGACAATAAAAAACGGCTGTTAAGGTCTCTAATGAGCATCTGTAAGGCCTTAATATAATGAAACTGAAAGGGCGGGGGAAGTTACAACAAGAAAGCATTTTCTTCGAGTTGAGCCTTTTATTACCTTTGCTCTCCTCCCTCCCTTCCACTTTGCTCACAGATGCCCCAGAGACCCTTCATCCAAGTCGGAGAAGTCTCAGTAGAGAGGCTTGGGGGAGACGAGGGGAGTCAGGCAGTGCCTTTGTCGAACAGGAAGCCCACAATCTGCGCTCCCTGGCTAACTTGTGTTACCTCTTTGGAAATTTATTTACTTAGCTGTATAACGAGGATAGTTACGCATCCTTGGGTTGTTATGTGAGTTAGCTAAAACAGTAACTATAACAGGGCATGCAGTTAGTGCTTGATAAACGTTAGTTGGGATGGGATGGTGTGGTATGATTGACATAATCTCCTGTTAACTTGAGCGAAGGGGTGGAGTCTAGCCTATCAATCAGGTCATCGCCAATGGTGCCTCTATGTGGGCATGGTCTTCTCCTGAGGATTCTGGGAACTCCTGTCTTTCTCGCTGGAGGCGGGACACACACACACTCTCTGCTTCACCTTCCTGTGGACAAGTTGGAGGGAACTATGCTGATGGAGTCAGAGCCCTGGAGCTGGAGGAGCCCTGTGGAAACTCACAGCAGCACTGAGATGCTTCCACCGTCCCTGAATCCACAAGACTTCCCACCCACTGCCCTGGGATCTTCCTGCCCTCAGCATCATTGCATGTATTGTGTGAGTCTGAAGATGATTTTATAGCCTGGTATCGGACATATGGACTAATATCGGACTTATGGACTCGATCTGGACTGGGCTGGGATGTTTTCTTAATATACAATTACTCTATGATATAAAATTCTCTCTTATACACATATGAGTGGCTTTGGATTTGTTTCTCTATTCAACCTGGACTAACACCGAGTGGGTGGGATGGCACACTTACATTTATAAAACTGACGTTCAGCTCCTTGGCTGTGTACCCTCTCTGGAGATTGCGTCGAGCATAAACGTCATAGTCACGAACAATTCTGGTGATGATGTCTGATGTTGAGATACCTTCGGTTCTCTGTGTTGGAACAAACATTCCTGTCCAAAGAGGGAAAAGGAGATCAAAAGGGGAAAAAACTAAGCTCACCTGGATTGAACCGTTTCTTTAATTGGCACTTCTTTCTCAGGGCCAAGATGCAGCCAAGTGCCAATGAGGCCCCAGTTGACTCCAAGTCTGGCCTACCTGACTCTGCCAGTTATACTTCCAAACTCTCTCTCTCTCTCTCTCTTCCTCTGCCCCACAGTCCTGCATGGTCATTGTTCTGGACCCATTCTCAGGATGCGCCATGTATTCTGCCAGTTCCTGGCAGCTGCTCATGTTTCGCCCTTCGTTTCTGCCCGGGGCCATTAGACTGCCCACATCAGCTACAGAGTTCCTGCCATTCTGCAAGGTGCGACTTCAAGGTTAAGCCCCTGGGAAGTCTTTCCTGAAGTCACCAGACAGAATACACACCATTCAGGACATCGATTTGCCTCCCATGAATCAAAAACAACACTTTTTTTTGAAATCCCTGAGCAGATGAAAGATTCACGGTCTTGGCATCTCTAGCACCTAGCTCAGTGTCCCGTGTCTGGCACTTGGATGGGGCTCGCTAATTGCAAATTGACTGAGTAAGTGAATGAAGGAGGGATACGAACTGAGTCAATGAATTAGTCAGATCCTGGGCAACACCCCTTCTCCCCACAAGGAAGTCTGCCTCATCATACCAGGAAAAGAAGAAAACCTTGCCTATGTTTGCTGTCGTTGATCTAAAAACATGCCAGTAGGGGGCTAGAGGATTTTCTTTCTCAAATTACAGTCGATTCTGCCTGGTGTTTTCAGCACTCACAGGCCTTTTTATCTGGCATATGTGGGGTTTCATAAAAATAAACAAGCATAGAGAATGTAAATGCTAATAGACCTTCTTTAAAGCTCTCCAATATACAGTTGGGTATACCAACACGGGGCTGTCAAGAGGTCACCCGTATTAATAAAATCAAGAATTGGGTTTATGCTCCCACTTCTGTTACCCATCAAAATAATGTGTTGGCAATTGAGATCGTTCACCCCCAAATCATTGTAGCCTCTCAGTCAGAGGCCTTAGACACGGAATGGTGTGGTAGACACACTGGGGACAAGGAAGCTGGGTTCTCTCCTGGAGACTTGGGCAAGTCACTCACACCCTGGGAAGGCAAGAGACATGGAGAAATGATGTGGCTGACTGAGAGCACCTGAGAGTCACCAGTGCGACTTCCTCTCCCCTCACATCCCACATTCAAGAAATCTCCAACCCCCAATCTACTTGCTAAATGTCTCCCCAGGTCATCCACTCTGCTTCATCCTCCATCCTAAATCAATCTCACACTGTCTTGTTCAAGATGACCACCCCATCGTCTCAAGACCAGTGGCCAGCAGTGTTGTTGATGTCTCCATCCAGCCCTTTTCCCAATAGTGGTCAGAGTGATTTCTAAATACAACGCAGATACTCAACTTGAAACCCGTCACAGGCTCTACTGTCCTCTGGATTCCAATTCAAACCCATCACTTGGTTCTTTGACCGCTTGCATGGTCTTCTCCCCATGCTCCTTTCTAGTCGCATCTAAAGTCCTAGCCCCTTCGCTTCCTCAGCCAAGGCCCCTGTGCTGCACAACTGTACATGGCACCATTCATATTTGTTTCCTTGGCCCAGTCATCCTGGACTTTTGGTGCCCTGAAAGAGATGCTTGTCCTCAACTCGCTTTGTCACAAACACATGTACTCTACCTGGTCAACTCTTGGCTGTTCATTAACTTTCCATTTTAGCGTCTAGGAAATTTCTCAACTCCAGGTGAGGTCTTACTGTTTACTATTCCCTCACAATGATCTAACTGCTCTTTTCTTCCAACTACTACAAGTCTTTGTAAAGCAATTTGTTCAAGAACTGTCTTCCTTATTCCACTCTACCTGAGGGAAGGGACTGAACCTGTCTGTTCTCTACTATATTCTTAGCACCAGATGACAAGCAGGCACTGTAAGATTATTCGTTCAACAAATCACAAATGAATTGCATTCGCAAAGTACCCTTCCAAACACAGTTTTCTTTGAAGCTATTGCCATTTGTGAATGTTGTGGTCTTATAGGCACCACGAAGGTGTTCCTTTGGGGATTTATTTTTATGTCAATTGTATATTTAGAGTTTATTTTGGCTGATGTTTAAAGTTTTTTTTAAAAAAGCATCCAATTTCTAATGATACATGGCTCAGAGAATTGGGTTGGGGGCTGCCGCTTGGCCAAAAATTTATTTTCCCATTCAATTGGAAGGTGGAATCAGATATGAAAATCAAACAAACAAACAAAAAACAAATCAAATGGAAAGCAGAGATTGCAAGCATATAAATGCATTGACACCCAAATAGCTCCCAAATTGACTTAGCTGTGCAGGGGGCCCTGGTGGGCATGGGAACCCTGATGACACCTCACTTGGTGGGAGCAGCAGGGAGCTCTCTGGAGAGGACTCTACCTAATCTTTCAGCAGGCAGAGACTTCACTTGCACCCCTGCCAGCTCACATGTTAAGATGTTCTAGCTACTAATGAAATGATGTAGCAAGTCACTTAGACACTTGTGACATGAGCTCACCCTTTCAATAAAGTCAGAGGGTGAGGTCTCAGTGGTTGAATGACAAAGTGAACTTGGGGGTGGGTTTGGGGTTACAGAGAGATTTGCTTTGGCTGGTTGGGAGGTAGGTCTCTGAAAGAAGCCAAGCCCTCTGCTGATATAATGAGGCACCCGGCTTCCTCTAAATCCTAATTATTGCTCTGCTAAAAATATTCAGTAATGAGCATGATCAGAGAACCTTTTTTATCATGCTTTTCAGAATTGCGGTGTTTGGTTATGGAGCTATTTTAAGCAGCAGAAAAGCACATGTTAATGAAGGACATGTTCAACAGTAGTAGGCAATATTAGAATGATGATGAGTAATGTGGACCGTACAGTCTATTTAATTTAAGCTCCAGCCTTTTCATCCAGTTTGACATGTAACTCCGACAAGCAGGATAGAGTGCTATAACAGTCATGCCCTTGATATCTCTGGCTTCATTTGAAGTGATTTTTGACTTTCAAAACTAACCATGATTAGTGTATAAGAGTCAAATGTGGCTACTTAAGCAATTTCTGAGTATCTTTCTCCCACAATGACTACTCTGGCCTTCTCTATGTGGGCCCCAAACACAACTCCACTATGACTTTCCCTCCTGGGAAGGACTCAATAGAGCAGATGAAAAGACCACAAAGAAGAGTCCTGGTGCCTATGATTAGTCATCTATAGTCTTATGCCTACTAAAATTTCTGCGGACTAATTCAATTTGGCAATGGGGATTGAAGTGGATTAAAGATGGCCACAATTCCCTTCCCCTTGAATCTGGGATGTTCTTAGTGATTTGCTTGTAACAAACAGAATGTGGCATAAGTGGCACTGTGACCTCCAAATCGAGGTCAGACGCTAGCTCTCTGAATGCTCCCTCTCCGAATGTTGGCTCTTAGAACCCAGCTATCATTCTTTGAGGAGCCCAAGCTATCTGGACAGGCCATGGGTAGATGCGCCAATGACAACCCCCACTGAGCTCACTGTTGACAGCCAACATCAACAGTTAGCCACATAAAGGTTTCTTCTGGGAACCCCCACCCCCCATCCCAACGGAATCTTCAGATGACTGCAGCCCCAGTCACCATCTGAGTACAAATGTTTAAAACCCCTCTCAGTAAGGACCACCTAAGAAGCCGAGCCCTAGCTAGAATCTTGACTCACAAAGTGACAAGCAAAATAAAAAGGCTAAGTTGTTAAGTTTGGGGGTAATTTATCATGCAACAGGAGGTTACCAAAATAGGGGTGGTAGCTTTCTTAAAGCATGGGACGACTGTTGGACTTGTTCCTATACCTAAACAACTGGAACTTGACATTTTGTACCCTTAATCAGAAAAAAAATGCATTCTTAGATCACCAGAGACCACTCACTCAGAGATAAGATATTTACTAAATGCTTGTTCCTATATTAAAAGTCAGCTGAGGAATGTTCAACCCAGGAACCGCCCATACCATTAACCCTAGGGGTAAATCAGCTGAACCAGGATCTCTGACTTAGATCTTTGCCCTCTTGGCGTGGGCTGCCAACTGCAGGGTCAGCAGTTCAAAACCACCAGCCACTCCACTGGAAAAGATGAGGCTTTCTACTCCTGTAAAGAGTCACAGTCTCAAAAATCCACAGAGGCAGTTTAACCCTGCCCTATAGGGTTGCCCTGAGTCATAATTGCCTCAATGGCAAGTTTGGTTTTGTTGTTGTTTCTACTCCTACAGAGTCGCAGCCTCGGAAACTCACAGGGACAGTTCCACCCTGTCCTTTAGGGTCGCTGAGTCGTCAACGATTCAACGGCAGATTTTTTTTTTTATCTCTGGGTGAGTGGCCTCTGGTGATCTAAGAATAAGTTATTTTTCTGATTTTAGGGAGCACAATGTCAAGTCCAAGTGTGGTTTGGGTTTACACTAAGCGAGGTCTATGGACCTGCAGCATCTAACAACCTGGGAGTTTGTTAAAAATGGGAATGTTTTGAGAATGATGTACAAATGCGCTCCACACAATTGATGTGTGTATGGATGGCGATAACAGTCGTATGAGCCCCTAATAAAATGTTTTTAAAAAATAAAAAAAAAGTAAAAAAATAAAACAAAGACACGTTTTGCAGCAGAAAAAAAAAAGGGTAATCTCAGGCTCCATGGGATTTACTAATCTGAATCTGCATTTACCAAGACACCCCCCCCTGCCCACCGCCGCCGCCGCCCAGGTAATCTGTAACAGTCTATCAAAGTGTGACAAGCACTGGTTTACACTGGCTCCTTCATGGCCACTGGAAGGAAGGAGCCATGGACTCACAGCTCAGATTTTACAAAGATTTCCAACTATTTCTATCACCCGATAGTCCATCTACTTGTAGCAGATGCCTCAGCTAGTTTCTTGCCTGCTCTTCACCCAAACCTGCTCTCCCAAAGCAGCCCTCCGCAGCCGTCCAGGTCTGGAGCGTATGGGACTTCCTTTCTCAAAATTCCTGAGAAATACAATGGAAACCTAAGACTTCCAGTTCCCGTTTGCATCCAGTGCTCCTGACCTCCAAGGACGCCCTTTCTACAAGGATGAGACAGACCCAGCCATCAGCCCTTCTGGGGCGGCATGAAGCTTCCCCTGGCTGCCTTCAAAGGACATGCATCAATAAAAGCATCACCTGGGAAATGAAGTACACTTATCGGCAACAGAATCCTTTTCTGAAATACTATCCAAAGTCATGTTCACTTCTGGGGCTCGTAGGCCTGACCCCATGGAGATTGAGACCTCCATCACTTCAGTGGGAGGTAGATGTAGCAGAGAATACAGGAGACCATGTTCAGCTTTTTACTTCTAAAACAGGTTCTTTTTAAAACTCACTCACTACAAAAATTAATAGTTATAAAAGGCAAAGTTTTAACTGGAAAGAGCTAGACTTTGAGGAGAAGAAAGTAGTTTTCTAAATCTCCAATAATAAAACCCCCAAACTCTCAGCCATTTAGCCAATGTCGACTCATACAGGACAGGGCAGAACTGTCACTGAGAGTTTCTGAGACTCTAACTGTATCCCTTTAATTACTAAGAGCCAGAGGCTGACCAGACGTGGGACAGGATGTTTTGCTGTTAACTTTAAAGTGGAGAAGACACAGAATTAACAAAGGGGCAGTTTCCTGTCCCACAACAAGAGGTTTTGCTCTAGGGCCGAGGGAAGGAGCGAATGAGAGATCAGGGAGTGAGTAGCAAAATTGAGGGAATGCGAGTGAGACCTGGCTCTTGCCCCGACTCAGGTGCAAAACCTCTTTCCAAAACCCAAAGCCAGAGAGCTTGTGCCCTGTTTCCCAACAGGAGTTTGGGGAGGAAACCACCTCACGGAGTCTCGAGGTCAACACGAGAAACCTCAGTAGAGTCTTCCTGACCCTGCCCTCCCACTGCCCATGTTTCCCTTGCTCTCCTGTAGACTGTAGAGGACATTTAAAAGGTTCCTGACAATCCTCTAGAGCAGTGGTTCTCAACCTTCCTAAGGCCGCGACCCTTGAATACAGTTCCTCACGTTGTGGTGTCCCACAACCATAACATTTTCATTGCTACTTCATCACTGTCATTTTGCTACTGTTATGAATCGTAATGTAGATATATGATATGCAGGATGTACTAAGCGACCCCTGTGAAACGGATGTTCGACCTCCAAAGGGGTCGAGACCCATAGGTTAAGAACCGCCACTCTAGTGGAACATAAAAGGTAGCTAAGCTCAACATGCCTGCTGGGAGAGTCACCAGAGCATAGGGAAAGGAATCTGGCAGCAGAGGCAAAGCCCAGGCGGGACTAAAGGGAAAGGTAACTTGGTGACAGCGAGAGGAGGTGGCTGATATCAAAGGGCTATGATGAGGGAGATATGGCTGAGCAGTTCTTGAGACCCAACAAGGTTTCAAGGAGAGGATGTGACCCGTAGGAGCTCTTCCTACCACCGGAGTCTGAAAGTACATGAGTAGCAAGAAAAGGTTGAGGGTGGGGGGTAATGTGGGGAGCTCCACTGATCCCCTAGGAATGGGGGAAACTGGCTCAGATCATCAAGGAGGGAACAGCTCTAGTATAAAGGGCATATTAGCCTTGATGTCCCCAAGAAACGCAAAATGGCAACTCACTAGACCATGTATCTGTGCCATGCCAGATGACAGTTGAATGTACCTGCGGAGGTATGTGGAGTCTTGGTGGCACAGTGAGTTACAAGTTGCGCTAACCTGAAGGTCAGCAGTTTGAAGCCACCAGCTGCTACCTGGGAGAAAGATGAGGCTAACTCTATAAAGAGTTACAGTCTCAGAAATGCACAGGGGCTGTTCTACAGTGTCCTGCGGGGTTGCTAGGAGTCGGCATTGACTCAACGGCAGTGAGTTGAGCTGAACTGATGGATGTAGGTATGGACATACATACAGTTTCTAGCGATGAGAGGGATGGTAGCCAGTAAAAGAGCAGAAGATAAATCAAGCCATTCAATATGTACTTCCACTCCTACCTTTTGCTAAAATATCAACTCCAGCCCATCCCTTCCCCCAACTCTGATCTTAACAGAAATGCTTAGTGACCAAGGTGCCAGCTTCCAGAAGCTAGGGCACCACGTCTGCTTCCCAGGACATCACTTCCAAGTTTCAGAAAGGAAATAGTTGACTTAATTCTGCAAATGCTTATCCATTCGATTTTTTCCTCCACATGTGGTACCTGAGGATATTACTGTCACAGAACAAGACGACATGAGGAGTGTGGTAAGGCTGACTTTGGAGGCAAAGAGTCTAGATAATTTGTTAGGCGGTTATCTGTCTTCTGAAAGGAACGTTCTTGGGGATTTAAAATGATTTCATTGTGAAGACTTAATCAACGGTGGATAAGGAAAGCGGTTGCCCTCTGAGCAATATGGGGCCTGTGGTTTTAGTCTGATGAACTCTAGAATCAAGCCTCAAACCTAAACGCCCAAATGGGGCCTTCACACATGTCAACAGAAGCTTGTAGAGGCTTCTTGAAAGACACCAAACATTCCAATGCCCTGGGTGTATCCACTGCAGTTCTAGGGCGTGTCTCTTAATACACTCAACTACTGTAAAGCAATGAACAGGTGAGCACAGGGGAATTCACCTGCGTCCTTGATATGCCTGTAGACATCATCAGAGCCTGCCGAAGAATATGGGATATCGTCGTGGGCCACAAAGTCAATCTGTTAAGAGAGAGAAGAACGGCGTCACCAATGGGATGGATTTGAACGAACTGGAATAAATTTGAGGGCAACAGGTTTGGTGTCCCCAGTCATGTTTTTTTAAAAATAAGGCATTGGTGTAGGAAATGTATATTGTGGGTCTGAATCCTTGCCTGAAAGGTAGAGCCCCCTATCTCCATCGCCGTGAGTTACTGGGAGCTAGAAAACAAAAGATTTGGATCCGCTCTTTGGCTGGTCCCTTTCTTCTCCTACCTCGGAGAGTGGCCTTCTAGGAAACTTTCTCCTTCAGAGAATTCGGTCAGCCTTTAGATTTTAAACACCTCTGCAAGGACAATGAACCCGAATCTCTACTCCCCATCCCATTGATGGCCATAGGCCTTGACATTTAGGTCATATTTTATACTGTGAAAACGAACTGCGTATCTCTCGTATTTTATTCTTTCACCTTGTGAGGTAGGTGGGGCATGTATTACTCTTTGGGGTGAGAGATAAGACTGCTGAAACCAGAAATGTGGTTAGAGTTGTCCAAAGTCACACCGCTTATTAGTGGTTTGGGGTAGGGAAGGAGCAGCTGGGGAGCCAAGCCAGGCTCTCACAGCTCACTCTGCACCCTTTCCTCAGTTGCCACATCTGCTGTCACTTTAAAGTCCACCTGTCCAGACTTGGAGTTCATCTTTCTGAAAACTGGTGCCCCCTGCCAAGGACACCTCCACTTTTCTTTAACCTCAAACCTTGGAAATCACCTTTTTCCCCTACTTCTCTCCGTAGCCTGGTCGGTCACAAGTTGAATTGTTGTGAGTGTGTGTGTGTGTGTGTGTGCGCGCGCGCCCATCACTTCCTCTCTGTTGCTGCTATATCAAGTCCAGGCCCCTGTCACCCATATTATCTCCACCAGCTTGTATTGGACCTTCTTCAGTGCAGGCTCTCTCCCCTCCAAGTCATCTAGCTGTGGGGAGTTCTCCTTAGAGAGTCTCCTTCTTGTCATCCTAGTGCCTGTTGATCTCTACTGGTTCCATTACCTACTACATCAAATAAAAACTCTTCGACTAGTTTTCAAAGCCGTTTAGAATGAGGCTTCACTCTTGAGGGGTAGTTGATAATAGTGGCTTATATTGCCTTGGTATGGGTCCTGCCCCACCACGTCCTCGCTCTATAGCTCATAACTTGGGGTAGGGATTCAAGCAGAGTTTATCAGCATCGGAACGAGAAACATTTGGGGCCAGATAATTCTTCCGAGTGGGATTTATCCTATGCATGATAAGCAGCATCCCTGGCCTTTATCCACTAGATGCCAGTAGCAGATCTCTAGTTGTGACAACTGAAAATGTCTCCAGACAATGCCAAATGTCCTCTGGGGGGCAATCTCACATCTAGTTGAGAACCACTGGATTTAAGTATAAAATATATATCAAGGGGCTTAAAATAATAACTGGCCAACAATAAGTACTCAATAAATGGTAATTATCATCCTTATTCATCCTATTATTATTACTGAAATTTAGTCCCTCCTCCTTTCTATTGTATAACAACAACAATTACAGTTATTTCTCAGGGGAGCTATGAGGTTGAATGTGATCATATAACAGGCATTTAGCACAGTGCTGGGCACATGGTAAATAGTTAAGAAATTACAGCCATCATATCGTTATTAGCATCTCCCATCATGCCTAGCACAAGTTGCGTATACAATAGATGCTTAGTAAAAATGTGTTGGTGATTGCTAGATGCAAATCATATTGTAGTTTTTCCTCTTCCTTTTCATTCTCACTGGGAAATTGTCTCCTCTGCTATTACCCATGCACATTTATCAGTGTTCTCTATTCTCTTCTGCGTCGGGAATTTAAAAATAGAAAAGAAAACTCTTAGAACAGCTTAATCTTATTTTTTTGTACTGCTTATAAAAGGAAAGAATAGCTCCTAATGTGGGGCTGGTTGGGAGATACAAAGCACATAATTTGATGCAGATCAAAAGAATTTCTCATGTTTTCAACTAATAAAAATCTTATGTCAGTATGAGCTGCTTCTCAGGTCCACACAACCAGAGAAAGAAGATTCTTTCCTTAAAGATGACCCTGACCTTCTGGCTAAACTGTGTCTTCATTATTTACATGAAAAATGCTGCCAGTGAATCTATAAGCACCAATAATGATGGTGATGATGACAGTGGTGGTTAACATGATGGTCGCTCTCGCTATGGGGCTTTGCTTAGATTTTCTCTCTGATCCTCCAAACAGCCTCCTGAGGAAGAGGTTAGTATCACCCCACTTTGCAGGGGAGGTGAGAGAGCATCTAGACCTGGGCGATCCACCTCCAAGCTCATGATGGGGGAAGGGAAAGGCCTGCAGTCCCCAGGCCTGGGTGGATGAGGGGACTGTATCAGGTGTCATGAGGTGGCCTCCTTAAAGGACTTGAAGAGGCTTCGGGGTTTCTGTAGAGCAGGCTGTGGGCCCTAGACTCCCTATCTTGCTACTTAGAGAACATACCTTGTGTTTTTCCAGAAACTCGGGTGTGAGTGTCCATGGGGCATCTCTGATGACTTCATCCACATAGCGGCAGTGTCTGAGCGCTTCGTATCTTTCTGCTTCGTTCATCACGGTGAAGCCTTTGAATTTGTGGGTGAGCTCATCACTGCAAACTGAAATAGGCAAATGTGCTCATTGCTATTGCTGGCCCAGATCCTGATCATAACCACCAGGGTGCAGGCCTGGCTTCTTCAGCAAGAGGAAAGGGGCGCAGCCTTCTTGCTGAGTGCTTAACATAATCAAACTCCCATGAAAAACACAAACACACTCAAAACGTGAACAAAGGGGCAGGAAAGTGAAGCAAGCGGAAATCCACCAGCAATTCAGGACTGCCTTTTAGTGCTAATTACAAAGCATTCTTAAAAAAGTATTCTCCAAATAACCTGATGTGACTTTCATATCTTTATTTCCCTATCCTAGCATTTAGTGAAAATTACTAATCAGACCTTTAGAAAACAAACTAAAATGAACAGACCGAGAAGGAATAAAAGGAGAGGAACCAAAAGGGCTGGGTTCTTTAAAGTCTGAGTGATACCTTTGAATTCTTGTGCTAGAGCATTATACTAAGTAACTCAAGTGTGATCCATGTGTGCATGCACGCGCGTGGACTCTCCTACACACATATATACATCCATAAGCTTCACGTCTCTAAAGCCGAAGACAGAGCCTTTACTTCTATAGCCTAAGATAGGACTCGTGGGTGATAGTCTTTGTTTTGTGAGTCAATTTGTTATTTAACCGAATGGTGATCTCGGGGGGTTAGTTTCAATTCAAAGTTTAACAAGTATCTCAGAGAAACAGTCTCAGACATTTGCTCCACTGCCGACTAGTCCAGTAAATCTGGATTTTTTTTTTAATTCAAAAGGTTTATATTTAGCATGAGCCAGCTGGATCCGTTTAGATGATTCCAAATTTGTTGGCAACATCAAAAGCGCCATAGTCAGGAGCCAGTCGAACATATGCCTTCTCTTTGCCATCAGGCCTGATCAAGGTGTTGACCTTGGCTACGTCAATGTCCTAGAGCTTCTTCACAGCCTGTTTGATCTGGTGCTTGTTGGCCTTGACATCCACAGTGAACAACAGGTGTGTTGTTGTCTTCGATCTTCATGGCAGACTCCGTGGTCAAGGGAAACTTAATGATGTATTGTGGTCAAGCTAGTTTCTTTTGGGGTGCTTTTCCCAAGGTATTTGGGCTGCCTTCTTAGCCACAGGGTCTTGGGCTGCCAGAAGGTGGGTAACATGCGGATCTTCTTCTTCTTCTTCCTTTTTTGTGGCTGTGGACGCCGTTCAGCATAGCTTTCTTGGCCTTTAATGCCTTTGCTTTGGCTTCCATTTTGGGAGGGACAAGGCCTTCCTTCTTTGCCTTCGGTGCCATCTTCGTTTTAAAAAAGAAGAAAGGCTGATTGAAAAAAAAAGAATTGGAGGTTCTACTGTACATTTTCCTCCCCTTCTGTTGTGGCCCTAATCAGATGGATGGTAGTGGTAGCCAGGCACCATCTAGTTCTTATGGTCTCAGGGCAGGTGAGGCCATGGTTCATAAACACTGTTAGTCCTGGAGACTAGTTTCTCCTTTGAATCTTTAGTTTCCTTCTTTCTCTTTTGCTCCAAATGAGTAGAGTCCAACAATTTCAACCCCACAAAATTTTTATTGCTTCTCCCAAACCTGTACTTCTGTAGTCTTTCTCATCTCCATAAATGGCAATGCAGTTCCATTACTCAGGCCCAAGTCCTGAAGTCATCCTTTTCTCCTCTGTTTTCCTAAACTCTGTGTTCCATTTACTAGCAAAACTGCTGGAGCTGCCTTCAAAATGTACTAATCACCATCTCTCCCATGGATTTCTGCTGTGCCATCTTCTCTGCTCTCCCGATAGCCCTGCCCATCCCTCAACAACCTGTTCTCATGGACCAGAATCATCCTGTTAGCATCTGTCATATCACGTCATTCCTGGGCTCAGAGCCCTTCCTATAGGCCTCAGAATAAAAGCCAAAATTCTTCCAGCAACCTGCAAGGCCCCTGTGAAACATACAACTCCAGCCTCCAGACCCTACACGATTTACACTTCGGCCCCTCCTTGGCTCTCTGACTGTATCTTCTATTGTGTCCGGCCCTTTGTAGTCCAGTGTGAGCCTGGAACAGGTGTACTCCAAAGATCTCTAGGTCTTATACTCTCTTCTCCTCTGCAAGGAGCGGTCTTCCGTGACAACCTTATTCTAATTTGCAATGCCACCCCTACCATGTCTTTACTTCACTTCTTGTCATGGCACTCACCATCACAGAAGTGTCTTAATTAATTGTGTTGATCATTGGTGTTAGTCTCTCTCCTCAAATGGAAGCTCCCTGAGAGTAGGGGCTATTGGCTATTGCACTCGCTGATACATAGTACCTGGACAATAGATTTGTTGAGCGTACTAACAGGGCCTGACACATGCAGATGCTCAATAAATGTTTAGTATTTAAAATAACACAGCTGTGGTTATCTGTAGTCATATTTTAACAGCATCTGGAAACTCATATGAAGGGGCTTCAAAAAGTTCATGGTAGAATTATGAGATAAAAAAAATTTCCCAGAAACTTTTTAAAGCCCCCTTATGTCTCTAGCTATACATATTTAGGCATAACTCTCCTATACATATTACCTGAGACATTTTCTGTTATAGCACTGTGCGTTACCAACAACACCATCAAGCAGATGGCAGGTTCAAAAACTTCGATGTGTATCAGAAACACTTAAGCAGCTTGCTAACTCTAAAGATGACCGGGCACCACTCCCTGAAATTTTGCTTCAATGGATCTGGAGTGGGGCCCAGGTAGCTATTTGACAAGCTTCAAGGGATTATCGTGATGCACACAGTATTTGAAAATCTCTGCAGCATATCATGAAGAAATTGCGTTTCCTGTCTGTTTGAATCCCTCATTGCACCCAGCAGTGGGGAGTACATGAAGAAGAGCCAGCGTGACTGCGCACTGACTCACTGTCTTCATTTGCTTTTGAATTCAGAGAGAGGAATTATTTATGGGCCACGCTTTGCCATTTTAATATTGACATAAGCTTTTAAAGTGTTCTTTCAGAACTTTATTAAAATATGACCTCAAAATCATATTGAGCAGAAATGGATTTCCAATCCATCCATTTTCTATTTTAAATAGCACAAACCTGAGTGGGTCCGTATCCTTCCCCCCTTTGAACTCACACCTGAGTGATGGGATATAACTTCTAGATGACTGAGATAATGGCCTCCTGACAGAACACGAAGAAAACAAACATCCCGTTGATGCCAACACAGGGTCCTATTTTCATGTCCCAGGAGTGACCTCAAGAAGTAGCTGAACATGCTGACCAGTTATTGTCTAAACATTAATTACGCCCAATGCAGCGCTGTTGTTCTTCAGTCTTGGCAGATGCCCTGTGACAACCAGATGGAGGACTGAGACATGGTGTTTGTGGATGCATTCAATGAACTATCCAGCAGCTCATGATACAGCAGTGCCAGTGCCTGGAGCAGAGAACCTTACAATGTAGGGGTGCTCAACAGACTGGGGTCTAAGCCCAACTCTATGACTTCTTCCTGGGGAAGTTACTCAAACTCTTAAAGTCTCCGCTGCTTCATCGCTCATACATGGAGAAGTTATGAGAATTAAATGTTAATCCCTAGGAGCACAGAGTAGTGGTCGATAATGTTAGGAGGCATACCAGAGAGCCATTTGTGAAGAACTTCATTTGTGGTTTGAGCTCTTTCTTTTCCCTGGCTCCCACACCAAGCTGGACAGCAAGCTACAAGGTTGGTGGTTCAAACATACCAGATGCTCCTTGGGAGAAAGATGAGGCTATCTACTCCCGTAAAGATTTACAACCTTGGAACTTCTTAGTTGGAATCAACTCTATGGAAGCAGATTTGGTTTGGGTAGTGGGCTAACAGAAGTAAGATAAGTGTGTTACTGTGATCAGTCACTGGTCACAGAGACATGTCTAAACATGTTTTGTTTGGAATAAACCCAAGCATGTATGAGGTGGAACCCTAGCAGCAGTATTTTTAAAATTAAACTCATTTGTGCTCTTTTCTATTACTGAACATAAGAAAAGTTTACCTGTGATATCGAATAAAGATCATTGTTATTCCTGATTTTTATATTTGAATTTAATTACTCCCCAAAGTCAAACACTATACTCTGACACCCCCTAATATTTTGAGAATAAAGAGTATACTTTTGATATAAATTATATTGTATTACTACAAATTAAGCACAATGATTTCTGCTTTGTTTATAACCTACTACATTAAGTCTACATGATTTTAATATTGACTGATTCTATTTTATACAATGAATTCTGTAATGCATTTCTCAGTGATTTTGATGAAACTTCTTGAAACGCATTAATTATTTGACTTGAAAAGTGAAGTCATATTTTTATTTTTCCCCTAGTTTTCCAGGTTTTTATTAGATTTAACACTGAGGGCTGGTTTTGTCAATTATGTTCGAATGTGTTCATTGCACAATTAATAAACTGAAACTGCAGCCCCAAGGCTTTGTTTTTTTTTATGTTTAAAGTATATGATAAAAGCATTCTATCAAAATTATTGTATTAGCAATGGTATAATGAAATTATAAATGTTTCTCTTCTCCAACACTTTCTGCGAGTATCTGTTTAAATTAGTTGTTTTCTAGTAACAACAACAACAAAAGCAAAAGTCATAAACCAGAGTCATTTGGTAAGTCTTGGGAAAATCTCTTGGTTATTTCACTTTTCAATGACATCGAGTTGATGCTGACTCATAATGACCCTATAGGATAGGGTAGAACTGCCCCTGTGGGTTTCTGAGTCTGTAACTCTTTACAGGAGTAGAAAGCCCCATCTTTTTCCCTTGGAGCCACTGGTAGTTTTGAACTGCTGACCTTGCAGTTATCAGCCCAATGAATAACCACTACACTACCAAAGCTCCTTGGTTATACTGCCCCCCCCCCCCCAAGGGAAAAGCCAGATTACTGTGATGGCTTGGTAAGAAATCCTTTTGCTGATCAGGCTATTTCTAATCCATTCCTGTCAACACAGTTGAAGGAGGAACAAACTATCCCTTGACAGAGTATGTAAAATTGTTTTGTTGACAATAATAAGAGTAAATTATCTTTTGGATCTGGAGTATTAAGAACTCAAGGCGCGAAAAAGTTTATTCCTGCCTTTGGATGAAGCAGTACGTTTCTAGCATTTCAGAGTGAAGGCATGACTCTGTGGTCCCCTTGACCATGGTTGTTCAGATATTTAGGATTTTGCTGGAGTTTTTCTCCTTCTATTCACCTCAAATTCTTGGCTCTAGATTCCTGTCTGTATTAATTACTCTGAATATTAAAGCATCTGTGCTTTTATGGAACAACAATGCCATTAAAAAATCAAATCAATTCAAAAACATTCAAATCAGTAAAATAACATATGTCTTTTTCGCTTGCCCCCACATTACTATTTTGACTGCAAACACACATGCTGCATAAGGAACTGGGCATGTTCTGGCTTTCCCACGCCCTTCCTTACATTCGTGTTTCTGCACAAAGGTTCCCTCGGCAGAAAGGCCTCCCAGATCTTCCTATCAAAACGATTTCTTTCCTCGTGTGCTGTTTGAAGAAGGGGCTTCAAAAAGTTCTTGAAAAAATTCCATTACGTTTTTGAACTTTTTATTGTGAATTAGGTGAAGGTTCACAGAGCAGATCATGGTTTTACAGTCAATAATTCATATGTATTCTGATTCAGCTCAACCACTGCATGCAATCCCCACAAATGCCCCATCCCGCATCCCACTTCCTCCCTCTGTTTCCACCTTCTTTCTTAACCCTCAGAACTCTGTGATTGGGCAAATGCTGCTCTTTTGATCTTAAATCATGAATTATTCTAACTCCGAGGTGGGTTCAGTCTCAGACCTGAGGAGTAAGGATTATAATTTTGGGGGTTCATTCCACCAATCTGTATGCAACCAGTATGCCTGGTCCCTCTTAGGATTTCGAGCTCTGTTCCACGTGTTCCTCCCACGTTATCTCAGACCTTCTGGCATCATCCTTTTCAGAGCAGTTAGCGGGAGGAGCTGGGCGCCATCTCGTTCTGGTTTATTTTCCCACAAATTCTTTGAAGTCCCTGTGCATATTTCCTCGTAGTACCACTACTATATGTGGCCTAGTTTATTGGGCTAAGAGGGCAGTCTGTTTTGCTCTTGGCTGTATTCCTACTGCCTAGCACATAGTAGGACCTCAGTAAGGATGTGTTAAATAAAGGAATAAGTACGTGAATCCGTGAAATCATTTTGGTATTATGAAATGGAGAACTTTTGACATTAATCTACTGCGTTCTTCAATTTACTAGAATATACGGAAACATTTCTTCTGATCAGACTTTTGATACTCTAACTCAGGATCCTGGCTGCAACCCACTGCCGGCGATGTCCATTTTGACAGAGAGCGACCCTATAGGACAGAACTGAGCTGTTTCTGAGGGGTTCAGAGGAAGCAGACTGCCTTATCTTTCTCCTGCAGGGCAGCTGG